TATCATTTCTGCTTTAATGATAATATCTTTTTAAATTCTGAGCCTGTTGAGTACATGCAGTATATCTTCTTTTCCACCAACATTTTTTATAAACATTTTCACATACCGTATCTCTAAGATTATTGATTTCATCATATCTTTGTTGTCGGGCTTGTCTTTCATCCCTTCATACTTGCTCCATCATTTGCGCCCTTCGAAGACAATCATTTCTAAGATTTATCATATTGTTCATAATCCTATTGATCTGCCCATTAGATGCATTGAGCAAACCTTGTAAGTTAGCATTATCCTGAGCATGCCTTTGCATATACCCTCAAATAGTTGTTATTGAGATCCGTATTCCGTTCAGAGTATTTCTTGGGTCAAATGATATATCGCTATTGATATATCCTTCAATCTGATCTAAAGCTGTCCCAATATTTTTTAAGATATCTGGTAGTGCCATATTTTCTCATCGTTCTTCTTTTTCAAAATTATTACTGATATTTTGAAAATGCGATATCTTGAGAATTTGGCTTTTGAGCTTTTCTACTGTATCTTCTAACAGATTGATTCAGTTATCTTGAGCGACTAATGCCTCCTTTTTTAGATTTAAATGATCCTAACATTTTTTGAGATTATGTAAGGTGGAGTGGTATTCTGCTTTTAATCTATCTATCTCATCCTTACGAGATATGAGATTTTTTCAAGATATTTGATATATAACTCACATCACTCTAGATTGTTTGTGAGCTTGCGAATCTTTTCCTTATTTTTTATAGTAATAGTTTCCTCTTTAGTTAACTTTTTTCGCAATTCTAAATTGCTATCTATTAAATTGCGATATGCCTGCTCAACTCCCATTGATTCCTATTATCCTAATAGATTCAGGTAAAGCTAGAAAACTAGATATTTCTATTGCTTTACAGAAGATTTATTACCAGCCTTCGGGTTATCAGAGGACTGCGAAAAAATTACACAAAGTTTCTAAAAAAGCTGGGTATGATTTTAGTCTAAACGAAGTGAAAGATTAGCTTGAAAGACAGGCTGTACATCAGATTCATAGACCTTATCCTAGAAATATTCCAAGTGCATCTTTCATTAATATTACTATACCTATGGAGGTTATTCAAGCTGACTTATGCTATATGCCTTATGATTAAATTGGAAATAAAGTTTATAAATTTGCACTTAATTGTGTAGATATTGCTACTCGTACAAAATGGACCTATCCTTTAACTAAACATGATTCTGCTAGCGTTGCTATAGATCTTGAAAAACTTTTTAACTCCTAAAAATGTCCGCTTACTTGGCCTAAAAAAGATCTTATGGTAGATGGAGGTGTTGAATTTCGGGGTGATGTTATTAGATTAATGAATAAATATGGTATCAATATTCTAATAGCTAATTCTAAAGAAAGTATGGGTATTGTTGAAAATTTTAATAAGACATTACAAGAATGGTCATCTATTATTCAAGATGCTGTTGATATGAGATTACCTATATCAGAACGTTGTTGTGCTTGGGTTAGAAATCTTCCAATTTTTCTTAAGAATCTTGATAATTCTATGACTCGTCTTCTAGGTATTTCTCCTGCTAATGCACGAAAATTGAAGCATGTTTATGTAAAACCTTCTAAGCCTCGAAATGGGCCTATGGGGTTTGATGAAAAGCAATTAACTTATGATGTTCTTGTAAGATATTTACTTAAACCAGGTGAGTTAGAAGGTGGAAGAAGACGTGCTGGAGATATGGTTTGGTCTCCTCAAGTCTATCATATCCATGAATCTTTAGTACAAAAAAATCAGCCAGTTTTATACTGGCTGGAAGATGATGAAGGTA